TTCTGCTCCGCACACAGCAGGCGTGGAGGGTGACCGGGCCGGGTTCGGATCTTGGTCATGCTGTAACGTCACTGGGTGCGCAGTGGCACAGCGTGTTGTGACCTCGGGTCACCGGGTCTCTTCCTGTATCTGCCCTGTATACCGGATGACTCATTGTATTAGCTTTGCTTTCATAGCTCTGAGTGTTGCGAGGTCACCGAGTGTTTGTTTGCTGGTGTGGATTTCAGGTGACGCAATAAGACCGCGGGATTCTCCTGATGGGTTTCATCATTGACGCTGCAACTTCTTATCATTCCTACTAATCTAAAGCAGAAGTCATGAAGGGGAGTGGCCCCGAGCCGCCGAGTAATGGTGAAGCATGCAAAGCTTTCTTGTAGCTGACCTCTGTCCTTCCCTTCAGTCTTGTGCCGGCTCCTCTCCTGGACTGAAATGGTTTTCTCTGATATCACTGCACACTGCAAGCTTCTCACCATGTGCATTAGAAGTTGCAGCAAGTCAGATAAGAGCTCACCCCATTTCCTGGCTGGAGGACGTCCAGCATCATCTAATCCTTGGAGCTTCTTGCATTAAAAAAACTAGGGCTGGTAATGATTAAAATTTCCGTGTTCGATTAATCGAAATTTTTTTTCATCGATTCATTTCGATTAGTTATAACGCACATACAGATTCAACTACATTGGCCTATACACATACTGCACAGCAATGAAGTAATACAATGAACTAGGATCACACTAATCCAGCGCGTTATTAATCTCACGTGACCCACTCAATATGGCCGCCGCTTGAGTGGGGCAACTCAGAATAATAACGTGCTGGATTAGTGTGATCCGAGTTCATTGTATTACTTCATTGCTGTGCTGTATGTGTATAGGCCAATGCCGCGGCTGGCGCTCGTGCAGAAAGTTTCTTGGGCAAACTCACCGGCCCAAGTGGCTCCGTTGGCTAGAGAAAAAGCAGCAGTGACTGGTCTTTATTACAGGAGGGGGCGGAGACGAGACCAGTCACCCTGCACATGGAGAGAAAACAGCAGTGACTGGTCGTTATTACAGGAGGGGGCGGAGACGAGACCAGTCACCCTGCACATGGAGAGAAAGCAGCAGTGACTGGTCGTTATTACAGGAGGGGGTGGAGACGAGACCAGTCACCCCGCACATGGAGAGAAAGCAGCAGTGACTGGTCGTTATTACAGGAGGGGGTGGAGACGAGACCAGTCACCCCGCACATGGAGAGAAAGCAGCAGTGACTGGTCTTTATTACAGGAAGCTCCAAGTCTCACGCTGGATTACTGCACAGATCTGGAAGAAATACACAAAGCTCACCAAGAATCCAGCAGAATACATATGGCTCTTGTATGGGGACAATAAAAACATTGGTAATCACCTTCTCATGTCAAAAGTGTCTTCTCCTTCATGTATGTGCGTCTTTTTTCGGAGTATTTTATTTTTCTCATTGTCGGTAACATTCCCGGTGCTGATCTATCGGTGTCACACTTTGTGAACGTTGTACCAGTTGTCGTGTTTCCGGTGTGCAGCGAACGTTCTATCTTTGTAGGAGAAGTAGGCCAGGCCCCAGAAGAGGTAATCATTGTGCACGGATAATGAAGTCTTTCTTTCTTCCCCAGGAAGTATTCTTGTCCTTCCCTGTGGAAGGTGCCTAGTTGTTTTAATCAGTCAGATTTCATTACCGTAGCACAGACGAAGCTGCCTGAACTCTAGCCGAGTCTGAAGAGAGCCTTGATGCTCACACTGTGGTCCCGGGCTGTGTGTGAGCGGGCCCCGGGGGGTCCCCAGTTGTTTGTCCTTCTCTGAGGAAGGTTGGTATGATCAGTGGCAGCGGGCAGGTGAATAAAGTTGCTGCTGTGCCTTGGCCTGGAAACAAGAAGAAGAAGAATAAAAGATTAAGGCGGAACTCCACTGCAAACAAACCAGTATATCCCATTAAAAGAGAAAATGACAAAAGAAGATTTTGTTGTAAATAATATTCACCTTCAATCCAATCCGCAGTCCTCGTATACTTCACACCATGGCAAGTGCCCACCCGTAAGGATACAGACTCTAGTTCCCCTTTGAATGAATGGGTTAAAGACAATGGGGGAAATTTATCAAAACTGGAGCAGACAAAATGGGGGGAGAGAGGCTCCAGGGGACCCATCTAAGAGCAAGCCGGCTCTGAGGATCAGGCGAGTATAACATATTTTCCTCTCTAGACACAAACGAGCAATGAACCCTTGCAGGTCAGGGGTAGCCCCACTGCAAGGGGTAATAAAGATTGTGCCCGAAGTTCTTCTTTAAATGCAAATCCATTTCGATAGGCGACGGGTATGAAGTGATCACCTTTGTGTGGTAAATTGTCCCCGGATTGTGCAGCTGCTGCCTCCCCCGGTGTCAGTGATGTCTGTCCAGAGTTGTTATGAATCATTATTATTATTTGGTCATTATTATTTGTGATTGTGTGATATGTTCCCACCGCTCCTCTCCTTTGTAATACAGTTTATTCCATATTGTGTGGGAAGTGTTTCACCAGCTGTAATGAGCGGAGGATCTCCAGATGGTGACAGGATTTAGGGCCTCGGATTAGATATTAATCCTTGCTTCCTTACCTTTCCCTGCACAGGAAGTCTTGTTGGCCTGGCCTTGGTTTTATCTGCGTGTCTGATCTGTAATGTAGATATAGTGTGTGGAATGTTTCTGGTATAAGGCCACATGTAGACCTAGGAGAGAGATGTATGCGTGATCTACCTACCCTCATCCAGCATTGGGACCACCTGACACTTAAGCTGGCCATTCAGGGAGCAAGGGTCGCAACAACTTATCGATTTAATCGATGATCATCGATAATGAGAATCCTTGTCAACGATACTCATTATCGATTAGTTGATTCATCGATTAGTTGTTACATGGGCTCTGTGTCCCTTCCAAACCCCGTCGCTCCCAGCAAGGATGGGAAGGGACACAGACCCCTGCAGCCGGTGTCCAGCTCCAAACCTCACTCTCCACCACCCCCTCCCTGCCTGTATCAGCAGGGGCAGCGAGAAAGAAGCGGGATACCGACGGCTGCAGCTGGCACCCAGTGGGGAGGAGAAACCGCTGTAGCTCTGCATTGCCCCGCTCCGTCCCGGTGTCTCTGCTGCTTCACCCCGTGTTTGCTGCCGCTGCTGCACTCGGTTCCTCAACTGCTTCGCACGGTGTTTACCGAGGCTGCCCAGTGCTTCTGCTGTTCCCCGTGCCCCCTCTTCCTAACTTTAGCCGGCTTGCTCCCATCCAGCGGCTAGGAGCAATAGCCAGCCTGCTATTGGCTACTCCAATTTGAAATAGCCAATAGCAGGCTAGCTATTGCTCCCAGCCACTACCTGCTGTGTTTACATTCAGCAGCCAGCTAAAACTATTGAAGTGCAAAAGGTGACACTAGATAGACCATTTAGACCCCTAATGCCACCTCAAAGAGGACCTGTCATCTCCAGCGTGCTATCACATAGGGGGCTTGTGAGTCCTCCCATGTGATAGCAAAAAGGTTTAAAAAATATAATTAAAATTAAATAAAAAATATCAAAAATGAAGTCCCCCGACCCTGCGAACATGCACATACTAACAGAAACACAAGTCAGGTACACCTACATACTAACAGCTGACTGCGCATCTATAATATAAAGCAGGGGTAGACAAATGAGGGAAACTCAGGAGCCAAAGGAATTTGTCCAGCCCTGCCCTACGCTGTCCCTAAAAACACCATCCCGTAACCCCAATCTAAGCCCAATGTATAAATAATCACTTGTGCCCTCTTCAAACCTTTATCACAGGGAGTGAGGCCTTCCCCAAAGAGCCTTGCAGTTTGCAAAGGTCTGTCCTGCATTTTTCTAGGATGAACCAGCTGTTGGGATGAGCGCCCCCTAGAGGTACTGGAGGGAGTGACGTCCTCTTAATCCCCCCCTGACATGTGCAGTGTGACTTCATTTGCAGCCACTGAGCTCATCCACGGGGACTGTAGACAGAGGGCAATGCTCCTGTCGCTGTGAATGAGAATGTCGCAGCGTCCATTGATTTAATCCGCATTTGAAATAGCTTGAAACCTTTTGACTTTAATATCGCTTTAAGTCGGACCAGTTCTTAGGAAATACTTTTTATTAATCAGGATGTTGAATTCTGAATGGTGCAGTGATGGTTCTACCTATCCAACCACTTGGGGTACACCTCACCTTGTGGACTCCTTTGCAGCCCTCCTTATTATGAGTAGTATCAGACTAAAAATGTAAATAATCATTACTCTAGGTCAGCGTGGGCCACTCCGACCCCCCCTGCTGTGCTTTAACCCCAAATCCCAACATGCCTCTGCCTCTGGGAGTCATCTTTGTCACTGTCAGCCTTGCAATGCTTCATGGGACTTGTAGTTCCACAGCAGCTGGAGGGCCGGAGTTTCCCAGCCCTGCTCTAGTGATACTATATTATGAAATGCTATGCGATCTGGACTCTGCTCACGTCTTGTGAACCGGAGTTCCATGTTGAGTGTTTGTTATCATGATGGAATGAAGATAGAACATTGGCAGATGGTCTTGTCTCTGCCTGTGTGCTGTTCTGTTCCCTGTTGGAGGTCAGCACAGTGTAAATAATGAAAATAATGACCCTGATCCTCATTTTCAGCGCGACTTCGTTATGTCCAACTCTGAGAATAAGTAACATACGTCCTTTAGTTTGTGTAAGAGAGAGATGAAGGTGTGTGGTAATGATGTCCTCAGTAGAGGAGGCCGTGGCCATAGAAGAAGTGGGGACCGGGGCTACGATGTGAGGACCGGTACAGAGGTACGAGGTGGGACGCGGACTGAAACCTATTGGAAGGAACACTATGTAGCACGTCATGAAAATTCACTCTCCGGGGAATGGGACCTGCTAAGTCAGTTCTAAGGGGTTTGCTAATAACGTTCTCTGCTTTGGTGCCATTGTTGGGAAAGCTATAGATAGTGATGATTCTTTGGCTCCTGTAATAACCATGCATCTTTCCTTTTACAGAATATGATAGACACCTAGCATCCAACAAGACTATGGCTGCGGCTTACCTGGATCCCAACCTGAATCATGCACCCAGCTCAAACGCCAAGTCCCGCCTGAGCACCGGCATGGAGCGCTCACCGGGTGCCATCGAGCGAGTGCTGAAAGTCTTCCATTACTTTGAAACCAACAGTGAGCCAGCAACATGGGCGAGCAATATCCGGCACGGGGACGCCACAGATGTCAGGGTAAGTGTCACCTCTATTAGAAGCGCAGAACTCCTTCTTTTTTATTTATCTCTGAGTAAAACCTAGTAACTATATTGTATCAATTCATGAAACTTAGAGGGATGCTTCTATTCAGTTAGCAAATTACCTAATCCAGACACCCCGGTTTATGTGTATGTGCCCGCCTTACAATCAGTGTGAGGAGTCAATGTTCCTGTCCCTGCTCAGACACAATGGCTTTTTATTAGGAATACACCGATACTGTTTTTTCGGTATCGAGTACCAATATTTTTTATTTTTTTTGGTACTCGGCAATACCGATACTGGATGTCCCATAAAGGAAGCCAGGCGGCGTGTAATGACTCGTCGCCCGGTTTTCCTGATTAGCCGGGAAGCCAGCTACATGCTCCCTCTCCAACAAGTAATGAGGGAGCAATGGAGCCGTAGGGGGGCGGGTAACAACTCGCTGCCCGGCTTCCTGATTGGATAGCTTCCCGACCAATCAGGAAGCTGGGAGGCGAGTCATTACATGCCGCCCGACTTCCTGATTGGCCTGTAAGCCGGCTCCATGCTCCCTTGCCACCAGGTGATGAGGAAGCATGGAGCTGGATTTCTGGCCAATCAGGAAGCCGGGGTCGGGTAATGACTCGCTTCCTTATAGGCCTGCTTCCCCACCAATCAGTGACGAGGGAGTATCGAGTTGGCTTCCCGGCCAATCGGGAAGCCGGAGGGGTGAATCATTATGGCTTCCTGATTGGCCAGAAAGCCAGCTCCATGCTCCCTGGTGACGAGAGAGCATGAAACAGGAAGCGTGGCGTCCTGGCGACGGAAGTTCTGATATCAGGGTCATTTGAGGGAGTATGAGTACTCGCCCAAGTACTTGGTATCAGCACTGATACTAGCATCGGTATCGGTGCGTCCCTTTTTTAATGGTTTACATTCTTCTATGTGCATATGCAGAACAGAGAAGTACACTGTCAGAGGTTATTTCTCTATCGTCCATTGAGGGACACAGCTCTGATGATTATCAGTGTAGCTGGCAGCATAACCCACCGTTATTATTCATCAAAGCTGTGTCCCTCAATGCACTCCGAGAAAAGGATTTTATGGTGTGTACAAAATCCTATCTTTTTTTTGCATGTCGTAGCTTGTATGTCAATAGTACTTGGAAGCGTTCCTCTGTTGAAGCTCAACTCCCACCAAAACTTTTCCTTCTAGTTTTTTTGCTTTAGAAAGAAGAAAGTTACACTTCTGACAATTCACCATGCTGTCCTGTAACCCAGTGGTGGAAATGTTGACTGTTTCCTGTCCCATTGAAAGCAGGAGAAGAAATTAGGGAAGACGTTGTCACCGGGACAGGAAGTCTCAGACAACAATAATAACCTGAAAGATTTTGTAATTCCCTTCTCCTCTAAAGCTGGGAAGGTGAAAGTTGCCCCTTGCAGGCTGTGCAGTCTAGGTTTATTTTCACCTCCAAGTAGGAGCTGTGTCCTTGGAGTTTGATACGATTAATATGAAGTGCTGGATGCCCGCCCTGTCATTTTTCTTGTTATGCTGAATTCCTGTCTGATTTTACCGCATTCTCCCTGATCCCCAGTCATTGCTCCCAGTCCGCACTGTACGGCGTCCGAGGTCCCATGCACTCCAGTATGTTTTGTAATGCACGTGTTTAAGGTGCACAAACCTTTTACTTTCTCTGTGTCGGCCCACCCAGCACACGTGTTTCAGTTTTCAATAGATGCCGGGCTGTAATAGCTGAAGTACATGAAAACGGCTAAAAAAAACAAACAACTATCTGAAAAGCCAAAATATTTTTTTTTTTTTAACGGTGTATAGCTAGTGTTCTGGTCCAGACACTCCTGCCTGAGGGCAGGTCTTGGACTCTTCTGCAGATTACACAGTGGATAAAGCGGACCTTTACCCAGTTCTTTAAAATAACAACAAAGACACCTTTAGAAATGTTTAGTAATGATAATATACACACAAATACTTCTAGATAATTGCCGGCTTTGTATTCTTTGCATACTTTATTTTTCTTCCCCATTCTTCTGGCAGTGGCCATGTTTACTAAGGGCAGCTTACTAGCTCTCCTTTTACTTCCTGGATTTATGGCACATGTGACTAGGACATGTGACCATGCACATCATCTCAGGGAAGGAAAATGCCTTTCCTTGAGATCCTGTGAGATTACAGATGAGCTTTCCCAGCAATTATCTGCTGATGACAAGGCAATCCCAGTGGGCATTGCTTTGGCAAACTGAAGTAATGTTTCCCTTTTAAAGCAGGAAGTGAACGCTCTGCAAGTGTAAATATTCCACAATCACCTGACATGTCTGTTATTATTAATCATCACACATAGAGAGATACATTGATAGAATCTGATTTTTGAGTGTATAGGTCTGCTTTAAGCAATACAGTTCGGCACAGGACCCACCGGTAACTGGACAGTGGAGGAGGAGATGCACACTGACATGGCCATCCCAAAGCTGTCCCTTACCGTATGCATGTGTACAGTGTTAGACTGACAGCGATGTGAAAATTAGTTGGCTCAGAGCGCTGCCCATTCTCTCTCCCTGTTTGTCTCACTGCGTAGGTCATTAATTTATGTTTAAATGAACACCAGCTGAGTAGCGGGGGAATCCTTGCTTCTTGTTGAGATAAAAGGCCTAGATGTGAATTTTGCGGAGATGGCACTTTCATTGCAGCCCTTTATTCTTTTTTTTTTCAGGGTATAATCCAGAAAATAGTGGACAGTCACAAAGTGAAGTGTGTGGCCTCGTATGGAATACGATTAAGTCACCTGTGCTCCGAGGAGGTTCATTGGCTGCACCCGGATATGGGAGTTTCTCATGTGAGAGAGAAATATGAACAGGCTCACCCGCCGGATGAGTGGAAGTAAGTTCAAGCAGCTCTTTTCCACCGATATATCTATAAAAAAATGAAGGGACCTAATGCAAAATGGTGTGTAATATTATTATCGCTGGACGATGGTTTAAGCATGAAGTCAGAATGCACACAGTGACATAAGAGTAAGGACGGTGTATTTTGTGTTTTGGATGCATTGCTTGAGGGGAGATTCGGCTGGAGTTGCACTTTAAGAAGTATAGAATGGAAACCAAACATCCCCTTTCATTTTCTAGTTTAGTTGCCCTCAACCACCGGCCCGCCGCTTCCCTGTCTGCTCCCAACAGCTACAATTACAATTATTTATATAGAACCAACAAATTCCACAGCGCTGTGCAATCGTTAAGACAAGTAAGAAACATTGGCGAACATCATTGACATACCGAAACAGAAGGTGAGGAGGACCCTGCCCAAATGAGCTTACAGTCTAAGAGGAAGAGGACCAAAGACACAGAGGTGGGGAAGGGGAGACTACAGATGGAGGGATTTGGGAGTACTGTGAAACGGGAGCAGGAGGGAAGGTTGTATAGGGTGAGAAATCCAAGGAGAGAGCTGATACGAAGTGCATTTTGAGGGATTTTTTTAAAGTCTTCTAGAGATAATGAGAGTTACGCTTTATTAGTGGAATCGGAGGAAAAAGTGTCCTATATGATAGCATGGGAACAAGATCTAACACAAGTTATCTCAAAGGAAAGTTGGCAAAGCTGTTGCACTCGGGGATTCAAAGGATTAATTAATATGTCTCTGATAGAAGCAAATTATAAAGTTATGGCTAGGTGGTACTTGGTTCCATCCAGGCTGGCTAAGATCTACCCAGAGGTGTCTCCTGTATGTTTTAGGGGTTGTATTCTCCCGGGAACTATGTATCATATATGGTGGCAGTGTCCAAAAATTAGATCTTTTTGGAATAGACTTTTTGCATTGATATATAGAATAATGGGGGTCCGCGTCCCAAAAGAAGCTCAGTATGTTTTATTGAATTGTCTAATTCCAGGACTGTCTAGGGCTCAGGACAGATTAATCTTTTTCTTCTTTGTAGCGGCCAAGATTACTATAGCCAAAGCCTGGAGGTCACCAAGTATCTCCTTCAAACAATTTAAGTCAAAAATGTCATGGATAATGATCCATGAAAAGATGAACAGTGTGCTTCATGATAATGAACAAAAATTTGAGTTAATTTGGTCCCCTTGGATGATGTATAATGGCTTGAGAGATGTTATATGAAGTAAGATAGCCCTAGTGAGGAGGGGAGGGTGGGAACCTTGGTAGAGAGTCTATTGAATTATTATTTAGCTGGATTTTCCCCTCCTTTTTTTTTTCTCTCCTTTTTTTTCCTTTTTTTCCCCCGAAGCATTGTCCCTTAATTTCTTGTTTTTAAACTGGTGTAAAACACAGGGGGAGTGCATGTTAAATAAATTAACTAGATATAATATCAGCCGACATTAACTGACATTAACTAGTATACAGTATACAAGTTAAAAATTATGTTTTTATCAAAAGGACATGTTTATAAATCATAATTTTTTTTTTTTTTGGGCGGTAGGTAAGAGGAGGGAAGGGTGAGGGGAAGAGGAAGAATGTTAGCAATATAGGGGAATATATGATTGTATGTATGAATGTATGTAACATATGTGTATATGTTGTTATTGTGAAAATATAATAATAATAAAAGACTTTGAAATAGAGATAACGAGAGCCTGATGTGGTGATGGAGAGAATTCAATAAGGTGGTGGCAGCCCTAGTGAGGGCCTGTAGACAAGAGTCAGGTGTGCGGGTGAATGGGCAGAATGGTCTCAGGTCATTAGTGGAACGAAGGAGCCATTTGGAGTATATCTTCTAATTAGGGATAAATGTAAGCTGGTGCGCGGTTATGCAGAACTTTGTAGGCAAGGCTAGGGAGTTTGAAGTGTATCATAAAAGAAACCAGAAGCCAGTGCAGAGATCGATCGAGGGGCGACGGAGATCGACCGAGAGGTGATGCATGAGAGTTAGCGGGAGGTAAGGTAGATGAGTCTGGCTGAAGCGTTCATGATGGATTGAAGTCTGGGCACGTTTCATGCTGATGAGAAGAAGGTTGCACTAGTCAAGCCGGGAAATGATTAGCGCGTGGACAAGCATTTTGGTGGTTTCCTCAGTGAGAAAAGTTTGAATTCGAGAGATGTTTTTCGGAGGAAAACGGCACGATTTAGTGATAGTGAATGTGAGGGGAAAAGGAGAGGTCAGAGTCAAAAAGCACACCAAGGCAGCGTGCCTGCGGAGTAGAGCCAATGGTAACTCCATCAACCTGAAGAGAGATGGACATGGGGGTAACCGTAGAGGGAGGAAACACGAGGAGTTCAGTCTTAGAGAGGTTCAGGTTTGAAGAAGCGGATAGTCATCCATTTCTAAACAGCGGATAGGCAATCGGTTAAGCCAACAGATTGGGGGAAAGATCCGGTGAGGAGAGGTAGATCTGAGTATCCTCAGCATAGAGGTGGTAATGAAAGCCGTATGAGGAGATCAGAACAGCTATTGCTCTTCACCAGGTTCAGATTGGCCCACTGAACCCCCGTATGATCTTCCAGTGGGCCCCAGCTAACTTCATCACCAAAAAAGCCAGGGTACTACTATTTTTTATGTAGTCCCCTTGCTAAAATTGCTGTGTGGGTGAATTGGTCTGCACCTGATGGATCTGAAATAGTTGTAGTTTGCTGTAGCATATGTCTGTTGTTTATACTGTATATGTACACTGGGGCACGTAAACACTGGTTTTCATGTACGTTTACTGCACATGCAAAGGTGTCAGCCCAGCCTAAAGCACAAACGTCATAGATCCTGTAGCACTCCTTACCGGAAATCCCAAAGAGAGTAAATGGGTGCTTGGAATGACAGCGGATGGCGCCGCACACAGAACAACTTTGAATGTAGATATCACCAGCACGACATAACCTCACAAGTCAGTGCAAATCCATTTAATGATAGATGCCACTCAGAATATCCGAGTGGCATCTATCATTAAATGGTTAAATGGATTTGCACTGAGTTATGAGTTTCTGGTGTGCTGGTGATATCTACATTCAAAGCCCAGCCTAAAGCATCACATTTGCAGAACTGGAACACCTGACCCTCGGACCGGTCTGTTGGCGGCACAGGAGGGACATCACTTGAATTCAGGTTTAAAACCCAGCTGATCCGTGAACTGTTCATTCAACCTGGCGCTCCTTCTACCCGCTGTGGAGCAAAAATAGATCCCTCCCATGTGATGAGACTTAATCTAAAAAGCATTTTTATTCTCTAGTCTGCCTCATGTAAATCTGTGTTTTCTGCTGCACAAATCCCCAATAAACACGCGTATCTGCATTCGCTGAGCCTTCATGCCAAGCTAGGAAATGAAATGCACAGCAGATAGTGGTAGACGGGTCTGTGTTCGCTGTAATTGGATTGAGCTGGAACTGTAATGTTTCATATTAATGAATGTCTGACTCTTTCTTGGCGCGAGGCTCCCCGATAGGAGGTGGCAGGCTGTATTAATATTATGTCTTTCACACTGGAAGCAGATGGTGAGTACAAGGTTGAAGATTTTGGCTAAAATGGAAAAGAAATCCCGCACTTCCATTTTCTATGTGTGACGTTTATAACAGAGGGAAAAACCTGCACTAAACAGGTCACAATTAGGGCTGCAGCTAATGATTATTTTCATCATCAATTAGTTGGCCGTTTATAATTTTGTTTGGATTAATCGATTAGTCGGATAAAAAATGAAAGGGTTATTAAACCCTCGTTTGTTTTTGCATATATATATATATAGCTAGCAAGCCGTAGATGTATACAAAAACATCAAATAAAAAAATTAATACTTAGCTGTGTCTCCGCTGCACGCTCCCGTCCTAACATCTGAAGAGTCTTTGGTATAATTGGGCATTGGCCTTCAATACAGCGTCAGATAAAATGAGGATGAGAGAAAGTGGGAAAATAAGAGAAGGATAGAAAGCGAGAACAAGAGATAAAATCTCCCCCCCATATGTTATGAAGTGGGTGACGTATTCTATAGTCCAGCAAAAGAGATCTGTGCAAGACTGATAACACTACTTGGAATTTTAGTTCAGCAACTCTGCTCAGACAGAAAGTTATAAGCTCACCGGATTTCTGGCAGGTGAACAGGTATTTTTTCTGGGGAAATGTGCACGAATTGCAGAGATTTTCTTCTTATGGGTCAGTAGGGATGAGTGGGGGGAATCGAAGGTTGCAGCAATTTCGGACTGGTCAGAACAGCTCAGACGTACAGTGGGGCATTAGAGACTGCTGCAGATATGTGTTCACCTTTGCTTTATACTTGCAGCATGTTCTCTTGTCCTTTTGATGACAGGGTCTCTTTAAAGAGCAGGCCGAATTTGAAATTGTGATAACTTTATCAGGTTGTGTATTCGAAGCACTTTGGTTGACGTCATTGCACACAATGAATTTTCGGTAATGACCTGACTGAGATGTCTCTGGTGACGCCATGTTGTTTTATTTGGCATTGATATCGATTTGTTTCTGTGTTGTAGGTATGAGCTGAGGATCCGGTATTTGTCCAAAGGATTTCTTAACCAATTCGCAGAGGATAAGCCGACCTTAAATTTCTTCTATCAGCAGGTA